GTCTCGGACATTCGTGTTTTACGAACTCATCCTAATAATTACAGGCTTCGTAGTCAGGAGTGCGTTTGTAGTTTGTAGATTGTGTTGGTAGCAACACGCCAACATGATGCGCATTTGTTTTGAAAATGAAACCTCACATATATTGACATTGGCGTATAAGGCACGTATTCCTCGAAATTTGTAATAATAATATTCACCATAGCCATTGTTAAAAATAGACAGATGAAAATATGTCAAAGTAAAAATGTAGAGAAAATAGAGAAAGGGAAAAGTTTAAATTAAACCCTGCTTACAGGTGGGTTTTAAATTTTACGTTCCGTTTTTTTCTGTTTTGTAAAATATTACATTTTTTCCTCTACATGTTGTAAAATTTTATTTATTTATTTTTGCATGGTGTACTCTTTAGACTTGTACTAATAAATAACAAACATTTAAATAGCTGTTAAAAGTTCACCTTTTATCGTTAAACCCCGTTGTCACGTACTGTAGTTGAATAAAGCTAAAAAAATATACATTTAATTTTTTGTACTTTTCGTATACACTCTATGCACAAAACCGCATTTTAGGGTCCATAGATATTTTTCTTATTAGTTTTATCTGACTACGTTTTTTAAAAGTGTGTATGGCTGCAATGGATCAAACTCATTTTGTATTAACAAATGCATGATCAATACAGAATAAGGTGTATAGAAAAAGATGTTTTAATTACGTCATGTATAATGGACATGACATTTTGATATTCTGAGCAACGAGTATATTTTGTTTGATTTAACTTCTACTTCTTCCTTAAACTCAAACTAATCTAAACTACATCTAAAAAATATGAACTATTTCGTTATCCAAATACATAATCGCGAAGAAGCCATAGCCCACATTAAGCAAAATGTTGTAGTTGTGTTAATTATTTTCTTTAAAAGTAGTTTCGTTCTAGCAATAAATATGTAGTTGATATCGAATTGGAAGCCGCACAAACAACCAATTAATTTTTAACTTAACCACTAAGTTACTATTGAATCTCGCAGTTCCATAGGAATTATTTTTCATCGTAAAGCGTAGGCCTAACAATAGCAATCCCTGAACAAAAAATATAATAAAACAAATTATATAACTAATAACTATCGAACCATTTGAAGGAGGAAATTATATTTGTAGGATACTCCTAGTTCATCATATACGTTTATGTTTAGATACTATAGTAGTTTTGCAATATATGTTACCCACTCATACAGTAAATTGTCACTTAGATTTTGAGTCGATAGATCGAAAAACTTGAACTACCGTAGGCCTACTCTACTTATTTAGGACTGTTTTGGAGCGTTTAAAGAACTAATTCGTTTTGAAAATCTTATTTTTAAGTGTCGCATCAATAAACATTAAAATACAACTAAATCTATTATTATCTGAAAATAAAATTTTTAGCTCGTAACAACACTAGTTAAGGTAATTTTTGATTTTATGTTACAATCAATACATGTGATGATTATTTTAACTGTTTATATTTCAAATACTTCTTATTTAAATTAGTAAACTCATTAATTTTTTATTACATTTTTAAGTCCTTTAATTCGTTGTATGAGCCAATATATCAAAATTGGTGAAGAAATTATTTATGTTAGTTTTTAGTACGTTACTACATATTCTTCGTTGTATAACATCAGTAACATGAAGAAATATGTTAAAATATTTATGTTTCGAGTTTTGTCATGTAACTGCAAATGGTGTTTATAAATGGTGTTGTAGCTGCATGTTTTGTCGTATAACAAGATTGTTTAAATATAACAGCATTGGACCGTATAACTATACGTTTCATTGTATAATTTTAAGGTTCGTATAACTGATAGCGATGTAAAACTACATTGTTGACATATAACAACATTGGGTCGGATTACTACACGTTTTATTCTATAATTAAGTTTTCGTATAACTGATAGCGATGTAAAACGACATTGTTGACATATAACTACATTGGGTCGTATAACTACACGTTTTATTGTATAATTTCAAGTTTTCGTATAACTAATAGCGTTGTAAAACATCATTGTTGACGTATAACAGCAGCTATATGATTAGTTTTAGAGCTATACGTGTTGTCGTAACTACACATATTGCTGAGTTACTACGTTGGTTATGACGCCGCGTACAGCGTACTACGAGTTGTAGTTATACGACATACGACAGCCACTATGACGCATCGTTTTCAGATACTCCTGGACTTGCGCATTGTCAAGTTTCCTGACAAAAGGAAAGTGGATTTATTCGGTTCGTCATTTAATCGAAGACTACATCAGTTTAAAACCACAGTTTTACTTAAAAATTTACAGTACTGTGTTTTCAATAACGACTATTTTCTATACCATTTTATGGATAAGATTTTTGTTTAGGTCTGTTACAATAAAATGTGTATACTTATAAAATTGCTCGTACCAAAAACGTATATGATTTGACAAAAATATGTCATATAAAATATTATGTATAATATTTCATCGTTGAGATAGTAAGCACTTACTCAAAAACAAAACGTGAAATTTGTTTCTAACGTCGTTTAAAATTAGGCCTTGTAACATTGTGACCAACATTGACTTGAAAAATATTTAACAGTGGTATTGGTATAATTTAGAGTATTGTCAGTTAATTTAACGTTATTACTTTAGTTTTGCGATCTTTCAAATATACGCGTAAACTCCTTGAGTTATTATAAATATTTTATTTAGGAAACCATGTGTGACATTGTCACAAATATAAAAGTTGTCTAATCCAATCCCAGACCCTAATATAATACTTTATTCCAAAGCTAAGACAACCGTATTATCCTCATATATCTCTGTTCAAATACAAATTTTTCAACGCATTTCCCGCTAAACCCTTCCACACATTTCACAAGACACTTACAGAAGCAGATGAAGGTGGACAAAGGTAGCTCCAATATCACAATATCACACGTCACTATCACACGCACACCGCGAAGTCTCCACCAATGCTACAACACATACTGAGCTCCTCGCGGTGAGAGCTCCGGAGCGCGAGTGTGGAAGCTCGGTCCGTGGCGCGCCCCCTCCCCCTCATCATCGCTCCCCCCGCCCCATACCAGCTGACCGGACTAATTAAATCGGGCCTGATAATGCATGATAACTGACACTTTGCTACCTGCTGCAGCACCGCAACGTGTGTGAAAACAAAACAATGGGAATAGGTTCGACATCTTCGCTTCGTTGGGGATGGAACGAGTTGATAGAATATCAGTATGAGTGTGGATGAGTTTGTTGAGTATTTGCTGCAGAAAGAGATGTATGTAATATACTAAGGGGAGCAAATGATTGTTTAAAGGAGATGTTGTTTATGACATCGTTATATTTTAACTGTGAAAGTATTGCTGTGGCGCGGTTATTCGAAGTTTACTAATCGATCGTTACACTTGATTCATATTCAAAATTGCTAAAAAGGTAAACGATTCATGATACTACGAGTAATAAGAATATCAAGAACTCATAAATGGTCTCAACATGCTACTTGATGTGTAACATGTTTGTATAAATAATCAACAAGGCCTAATTATTATTTTAGTAAGTATATTGTTATGACACTAAAAGTATTGCAAATTTCAAACATTTTAGTTGAAAGGTCTTAAATATATATTTTAATTGTATTAGAAATATAATTAATTAATAAAAGATAACAATTTCATATCATTTGAAGCTACCACAAACATTTAGAAAGCACAAAAAACTGTAAAATCCTATAATAAAGTAATGGTATTTTACTGTAAAACTTTTATATGGAAATGTATTTTTCGTGAGTCAATGACTTACTTCTCATTGTGAATTACAAAGACTCAATTACTAATGTTGACGTATTGCTGACTCAATCTTTTTCCTGCATTGAGTCGTAGAGCAACATTATAGTTTATTCTGCAAACAAAGAAACCTAAACCAAATCAACAAAACGATTCCCGCACGAACAACCGAGGGAAATACAAGACTAATAAAATAATAACAGGTATTAGTCTGGCGGCGAGGAGACGCCATCGACTTTTACGAAACTGCGGAATTCCGCTAACGGCAAAATTACAAACCCCGTCCTACACCCACAAGCGTCCCAGCGTCCCAAGTGATTTTTAAACCAAATTGCCAGTTTATATGAGCTCGAGGACCCAGTTTTGAGTCAATACAATAATTAGCGGCTCCATTAGGACCTTCCCCGAGGCACGGCGGGCGCCGACCCTTGATATATGGCACACCCACCCTTCGCTATTATCACTTCTTAAAGAGGACACCCGCCAAATCGGTCCACTTTTGGCGGCTTTTTAGCCGACCTGTTAGCTTCGGGCAAAGTGGTTACGGATAGTTAAGAAACTAAATTTAAAATGTGAGTCTATTGTTTTTGGTACCAAGAGTTGTATTGAATAATCAATACTCTGGACAATTTTTTGAAGAAAGACTTGATAAAACTAGTAAACAACTATTTATAGCTATGTTATATTACAACATTGTCACATAGTAGTTCGTAACCCACATTATACGATATATAGGTCATTCTATCTCCAAAATAGAACAATACTTCTCCCAGATAATCTTTATAAAGAACGTCCTTCATTCAACAATTCATTTTATCTTATAATTATTGTGTTTATTCTTACATTTCCTATGGTTATGAAAATGCATCCGAGTTTGAACACAGGAAGCTGCATATCATGCAGACCTTAGCCTCCGGCCGTGAACCAGATGCTAGAGTTGGCCAACAAATGCATCTTGTCATAGCCTCGCTAAGTGGACAGTTTGATGCATTTGTTTGGTCCACTTCATCTTCGGTGATCGGCGCAGTGGCCGTGATGCAACGACATTGCCCTAGCAACTAAACTGTTGTTTATTGCTGTGTCAAATATAAATCATTAAACATTAAATATTCTTCTTTGTCGTGATTTGACTAACTTGCCAAACCGTTTAATTGTATTAAGTTATTTATGTTTACTTACCAAAAGGTGAAGGGATGGATTTATTTCGTGTTGATCATGTGAGTCCTCCAGTTGCAACTCGTCTGCGTTGCTCTGGAAGTTCAAAATAACTTATTTATTTGTAAACCTTTAATTAACTTTACTACATCAACCAATCTTAAATAACTATGGTTTTCGCTTTAACTGAATTACTAATCAAAAAAGTAGTACACATTTTGTTGTAAGTGATTAATTATTCCACTGTATTTGAGTAACTAATGACGCAAATTGTAAATGTAAATTTACAAGTGGTCGTAGGTCAAATTTTTTACTTTATACGTTATCCGTCATAAAAATTGCTTGAGATAAAAGTCTTAAAAGCTAATACAAATATAGATGAAGATATTTTACTTACCTTATAAGCTTCAGAATAGTTCAATATGTGGATTTCAACTTTGTAGAATCAAAGATTCTGAAACAAAAGAATAACATTTATTGGATAGTAAAATAGCAATTGTTATTGTTATTCAATAATATTTATGGAATGACACAACGAAACTTATATCAAACAAAATATAATTGGCAAAATAAATTTTGAGGTAAACTCTACACTCAAATCTTATCAAAATAATTTAGAGTGATGACGTTGGTGAATGCCATCTATACAAATTTCAAATTAATAAAATAGTGATATTCAATTGGAGTTTGGATTTAAAAATGTAAAGTAGTAGCATTGACTATTGGATGGTAGTCAAAGGTAGTACGTATTTTCTGCGAATTTTCCATCTAGTGAATTAAGTAATTTTACAATTTAGTATTCCAATTGAATCCCAGTTCCAATATCAATGAAAGAAATGTGTGTTGGATGCATTCACTAGCACATCTTTGATCATAATTGCAGTTTATACAGTATCTTGTGCTAAATATGAATCCACAATGTCTACTTTTAAGCAGTTTACAGGCAATGGAACGTATTTGACAGATTCCCAAGACCTACTAATGGTTACCTCTGGTGCAGGTGTGATGCTTGATCCGGTTATTTAGTATCCGAAGTTCACACGAGATTCGCAGCCCAACTTTCGACGATATTTACAACGTGACTGTTTACACGGTTGGGACTTGTTTTAATTAAAATATATCAGTGCAAGCTCAACAGCTCAACGGTATTTCCTCCGCACTTTACTACCTGGTCGAAAACAGGAAATGTAGAAAAGTCGTAGTCGGTAATTTTAGAGAACTAGCGTTCCCAGCGGTTCTGTGAGTTATAGTGGTACGGGAATTAAAACGTGAGGACAAAAACCTCTATACTGTATTGTTGAAGGTCTAGAGTGCGTTAAAACTAGTAGTAGTTCGAAGGTTTATAACATCTATGAGTTATATTCTAACTCAAATTTACCAAAAATATTCCTCCTAATAAAAAAAAGGTTTACAAATGTTATTTCTTTAACGAAATAGTGTTTTTGCGTTTTTAATTTGAACTGGTGTACTGTTGAACTAGTGGGAGAAAAATATCGAACAATACGTCACTTTTCTAACATAAATGTAACACATCGAGGATAGTAAAATTGTTATACAATGGTACTTAATATATATACACAAGTTAACCATTTAATAACACTCAATAGATTGAGAAACGCACGATAAGACGCAGCTCAAAACATGTTGCAGCTAAATAAATAAACACCCGTTACAACTTCCGCACCTTGCTTCAAACGCACGTTCATCAAAAATAATTGAGATTAGCTTTTTGAAAAGCAGAAAATTGAGTTTGTATTGCCGTCTCACGAACTTGTAAATTATCACTTGTTTGCCAATAGCCTATATCGAGTTACTTATCTACTTATCTCTAATTCAATCTTTCAACAACCCATTTACTTCAGTGATCTGATTTCGTACCTCAGGAAAAAACTACAAATCGATTTGTAACAATTTTATTTTAAGTCTTTATGTAACGAGTGTGGACCCATTGTGTGGTGTTTGTGATAATAATCACATAATAAATATAATTAGATTTAGAACCACAGACATTTCTCATTAGGGTGTGTTTTGTCTCATAATAGTGCAATATAAGTTATGCAATTATGGTATACTGTATTGTTATCCTACAGCAGTTAGCTTCAACTCTTCAGGGTGAGAATAACAGGTTCGATCCCCGTCAGGTCCAAAAATATTGGAGACGGTTAAGTTTTTTCCACAAAAGCACCTGACGAGAGCATAAAATATTTTTAAATGCTATACCAGCAGTCTGAGTCACTTCGTGACACATAATATATGATATATTTGATATATAGCTGATACGGGTGAAAACTATCAATTATCATCATATCCCTATTATTTTCATTGCGTTCGCGATCTCTTCGAGGCATCTTCAAATTTACAAATGCTAATGAAACATACAATGAAAACACAAAATCTTTTCTTAACAATTTAAGCAAATAACATTACAATATTTTACGTAAATTCCCCAAAATACCAACAAAACATACTATGAAAACAAAAAATCCTATCACAATACAAAATCCAACGTAAGTAATTTTCTTTTTTACATTTTATACAAAATAGTATTACATTATTTTACTTGAATTCACTGAAACATCACCAACTACAGAAAACCTCATTTTCGTATGGATGCAGAGTGCAGACAAAATTGTATGATGGCCATCTGTTTTGATGTAAACAAATCAACACTTTAAACAGTGCAGATGATTGACAACAGAATTCAGCAGAAACTATGATATTTTAAAAGCCTGTTGGACGAAGGGTTTTTACGAGGTATCATCCAAACCCACAAAAGGCACATCTAGAGGAGCTTTAAATTGATACCCAATATGCCTATAAAAATAAATATTTAGGGGTCAATTTGCTGCACACAAAAATCCAACAAATTCTTTTAATAATATAGATAACTGTGTTCGCAAAGGTATATTTGCTATACTTACCCACAAATGAACCAACAATTGACCGTAATACATCCAAATATTTTTTTATGGGAGATATTTTCATTTTACAGACCCAACCACACTTTATGAAAACAAAATAGCTCTTAAAATAATTCATACATATTTGTATTCATTATTTTTTTACATCCAAGGACCCGTCTACTTAAAACCACCCTCTAAAGACTTAGTGTTAAGTAACAATAATCCGGGTACAAACGGTAAACCAGAGGTACAAAGGAGGGTGGACGACGTAAAGACAGCTGAGGACGTCGACAGATGTCTTACACGCGCGATTTGTCCTGAAGATTTATCAGCTGTTATCTTTGTGTTGACCAATGTCCATAGGGCGTGACTGGAGACTCCCCAGAACGTAGTAAACTAGAGCTGTTAAGGAGAATGTCTTAGAGGAAGATTCATTCGGTTGTTTCTAAATTTTGGAAATTTAACGGAGCAAAATAAGTAAGATATGTAATTGATGCGTGTTTTAATTAACTTAACAACATCAAAGTATTCTCGAATTTCTGGTTTCAGTCAACTGCACCAAATTTAAATAAAATAAATTATTCTAAATAAAACAAATTATTCTAAATAAAACTTATATACGACGTTGGTGTATACTATAGAATCGTTTCACACCAACCATCTAAGTAACAAAAGCTAGGTGAGAATTTATATTTTAAACAGTGGTGAAATCTGTGATTGGCTTATTCAACTATAAGTTCTGTGTTAATAAAAATAGGCTACAGCTGGTCCGTCAGTATAACGGTTGTCTTCTTTAGTCAATGCTTAAAGTCAATGGTTCTTTGATAATCGAGTAGGGTTGGTCATCTTTTAATTTATCTGTGTATATTATTTTTATATCAAAATACAATCCAACCAGTATATGACAGCGATCCCCGAAGGTACATGAAGAGCATGGAGTGGGCTGCCACAAGGCGGCGTCTTAGATCCCATCTTCTTTGTGCGCGAGAGACGCGTGTTCCCGGCACGCGGCACGCGCTAGTGTGGGTGTCATCTATTGTCAGCTACTTTCTTACGTTCCCCTCGCCTATTCATCGCGCTCCCTCTCAGATTTCTTAACGGCATTAATTTTTGTGTTGATTTTACATGGCAGGCGGCCAACGGTCGCTGGTAGGCGTGAAATTATACGACATTCCCGGTCAATACAGCTGTCCAGCGCTCGCCCGCCGCTGGTGAGGATCTTCGGACACATCTTTGTGGGCTTAGACGTAATTTTAAATTGTTTACACATATTTTGTTTTTGTGTCTGACATTAAAATTCTTTATGAGCTCGTGTTCGTAACCAATGATGAACGAGGTTTTAACGGACTTATTTAAGCTTCAGAATAGAGATGAATTTTAAAATTGGTGAAAATATATAGTAATGAAGTGATCCATTCATCGCACTCAACAACAAGTTTTGGTGCTGAATTTTTACAATGTTCAGGATGTATAAGTTCTTGATGCATATATTAGAATATAAACTACAATATGATCACTAAACCTACGCTTCTATAATGTGTGATTACATACATGAGCATACAGTATATGTTTACACAGCCTAAAAAAGTCAACAGTTTAGTGTCGAAACTGGTTGTCAAGTTAAACTAAGGAGTACTAAGGCAAACAGTAGTACCCCCTTTTATTAACTACATTATTAGTACATATTAATTTACTACATTATTAGTAGTATTTATTAGTACATTGTAAGTTAATTTGTTCCACAATACAAATATTTAAACAATTATTTGTCATTTTAATTAAAATAAAATGCGGTAGTATGTAGTGTAATGCTATGTTTTATAATACTGAATTGTAATTTTGTTTTAGTTTATTTGCGGCGAACAAAGATATTTTATTTCTAATGTGTAGATAAATAATAAAAAGAAGTAAACTTTAATAGCAAAAAACGTTTTAAAGTTTCTATGATTTCTGGAGTGAATAAAATGAACGCCCTTCACTGAGCAAAGCTCGGTTCTCGGAGTCAGTGGCCGTACCCAAGCGCCGCTGACCCCCAAATTACATGCGCAAGTCTAAAGAGGGACCACGTTTGCCCCAGTTTCCTATTCAACGTCATGGGGCTGCGAAGAAAAGGAAATTTACAGACAATGTTTTATTTAACCATTTCGTAATGCTATATCCTTATGGAGCGAGGAACTTTGTTTAGGTTAGTCCCTATTGACGTTATTTCCGATGTGAGACATGATGAAGTGGTTATCGTACTTTTGACATTAACTTCACAGTAGTTTTATGTCGTTATGGGAATACAGTAAAGTGTGTTTAGGAGAAGTAAAGTAGATATTGGATGCATGATGTCGCGTTCATGCACAACTAACTGAGCAGGGTAATGAGCAAGTGAGGTGCGAAGAGTGGGTAGTTTTAAAATATTTGTTGTTACTTAATATCACAAAGAAAAGTGGTTCTGCATGTAAAATCAAGGGAGATGACAGGTGGTATTGTATAAGAAATCCACGAAATTTTAAATATATTTTTATGAATGGTTGAGGCTCTGCGTTAGAGTGCAAGCCGACTA